GGATTGATATTTGCAAGATCCGAAACTAATAGATCATATCTAGAGAGCTAGATTTTGGGCAAGCTGATTTACATAAGAATTATTTACCTGCATAGGACACAGACTACCAATTATTTTGCTATACATTCCTTTATACTATAAAAAATGATTAAAAAAATTACACCAGCTCAACTTAACTGAAACTTGGCACAGAGTAAGAAGAATTCAAGTCCAAAAATTTTTCAGACTCTCAGGAAAATTCATCGCATGCAGTTCCTGCTAAGGCATCGCAAATAACCCCTACCCTGCTTTTTTCACTTTCTCTTCGGGGAAAGGGTAAATATGGGCCTCTTTACACCCTTCCTACTACGCGCGCAAGTGCAAAATTTCACATATTAACAATTTTATATTTTTTTTCAAACCCTCTCCTTTCCATCTATACCCAAAAATAACATCAGTCCACCCCATAAACACCCCAAAGAATTTTTAAGAAAAAACCTCTATTTTTAAACTGGAACTACTTGAGTGGTCAATGAAATAGGGGTAAAATTAGTAGTCTGTAACCTAATAAGGACACAAACCTTGTCTGATTTTGCTGAAATTTGACATGCTGGAGTCTTTTGTATCTACAAAGTGGCCGGTGAAGTTTCATTGAAATTGATGATTCCTAAGCAGAGTTATGGCCCTTTAATTGATGTGCTGGAACACCTTAAATCAGAGGGTAAAATAAGCATTAGGCACACAGTTCTCAGATTTGAAATGCTCACAGCTCACATGCATGACAGTTATTTTCTTTCCTTATATTTTTGTATACTAGATATATATGTCCTACACAAATTTCAAGAACAAAACTTAACCTATTGCATAAGTAAATATTTTAAACAATTTTTCAAAAAAATACCTTCAAAAAGCATAAAATTCTTGGAAATATTAAAAATAAAAATATTTAGCACATTTTAATTTTAGTAAAACAAATATTAAAAAATTCTACAATATATAGGCTATAAAAAATTAGTATAAAAGTTAAGGGAAAGAGATTAATACCTTTGTTATAAGCAGATTATCCAACCTGGTCAATTCAGCCTCTGTCAGGAAGTGGTACTTACTACTCTAATTGGATTATCCCTGGTCATATTAAGACTTCTTTGATGGGTATTTCTTGTAACAATATGCATTATTAGATAATAAATACCAAAAATTCTGTGAAATTTTGGATTTTATAATTCTGAATTTACAAGAAAAGGAATTTATATATGCATTTTACCTACATACATTCTTCAGGCTGCTGTAGAAAAAGGGGAGGCAACTCTGCACTGTAAAGGTACCAAAAAAAACAAAATGATTAAAAAGCATGTCTATATACTTTCAATGGTTCAGCATAGAAAATATACCATGCCTGTGTCACCTATAATCACTCCTGGAGGTGCTTGGAAGCTAAAACAGGGAGGGGGGGGGGTAGAGAAGGTTTTATTAAAATGGAGTACATAAATTCTGTCTGTCTTGTGTATCACTATTTCTGCACAGTGTTTATCCAAAATCTTGAAAACACATGTCCTTGTCAAAAAATGATGATTTTGTCTGATATGCGACCACCGACAATGATGTCCAAGATGCCACAAGAGTAGAAGAAGTCAGTAGGACCAAACATCCCATATGAAATGTTGAGCACCTTACTGACCTCCCCTGTCTTGGACAATCACAGATCAGTGCCAGCAATCAGACAGCAGATATTCAATTCCAAAAGAAGAAGGAAAAAGAGAAAGTTTCAGAGAGTACACATTGATTGGCAAGAGATGATGATGACAGATGGAAACAGTGTAAAAAAGAAATCAAACACAAAAAAAAAAAATAATACAAACTTAAGAGTCAGTTGACTATATACCTTTAACTTGGCTGTTGTGGACTGTAATATTGTTGACAGCTGTATCTTGTTTTCTGAATGATCATTGTCTCTGCTACTGGTACAAAATTGTTCACTTCTGACTGGCAACTAGCCTGATTTTTTATGAAGCCACCCATCCAGGCTATAACTGCTTGTAATCCCACATCAGTCAGCTAGAAATGAGCCACTGAAAAAAAATAAATTTTTAAGAATTTCAACTTTAGTTCACATTCATAATTAATAAGTAATTGTGTCAAATTAATAAGTAACTGTGTCAACTATAATTACAGACACCAAGTAGCCAAAGTTTTGAGAAATTAGGCATTACTTTCCTATTAACAACAGTGTAATCTGAACAATCAAATGTTTAAAACATACCTTGGTTTTTGAACTCCATTTGGCATTTAAAATAGCAGGATAGGTGAGGAATGGGTTTTATGTCACCTACAACATTATATATAGAATCAAAATTCATATTGCATAAATGTTTGACACACATCAATTGCACACATTACGTCATCCCTTTGACAAGCTGAGAGCAGGTGCTCCCCTCCCCCTTTTCAATTATTTAAATCCATTTAACTTCTCCAAAATACAATTTTTTCCCTAAAATTTGTCAACAATTTGCATAATTAGTTCCAAATTATCCAAAAAGTGCCAGTAAATTGATTAACGTGAGATTTGACCTTTGACCTCATAGGACACAGACTACCAATTATTTTGCTATACATTCCTTTATACTATAAAAAATGATTAAAAAAATTACACCAGCTCAACTTAACTGAAACTTGGCACAGAGTAAGAAGAATTCAAGTCCAAAAATTTTTCAGACTCTCAGGAAAATTCATCGCATGCAGTTTCTGCTAAGGCATCGCAAATAACCCCTACCCTGCTTTTTTCACTTTCTCTTCGGGGAAAGGGTAAATATGGGCCTCTTTACACCCTTCCTACTACGCGCGCAAGTGCAAAATTTCACATATTAACAATTTTATATTTTTTTTCAAACCCTCTCCTTTCCATCTATACCCAAAAATAACATCAGTCCACCCCATAAACACCCCAAAGAATTTTTAAGAAAAAACCTCTATTTTTAAACTGGAACTACTTGAGTGGTCAATGAAATAGGGGTAAAATTAGTAGTCTGTAACCTGCATGTTAAAAGAAACAGTTTTCAGAAAAAAGAATGATATTACTGATGCAAAATACTTTAGTGTTTACATCCTTTGATATTTTGCATGGAATAATTATTGCATATGATTCAATAATTATTGCATATGATTCACCGTTTCAACATGTCCGTATATCTTTTTTCTGCATTTCTATACTACTGGATCAGTCCATTTATATTCTACGAAAGAGGTGAATCGCTCTTTTCGCGCCAAAATGTCACTTAGTAAGCTCATGACTTTTCCTTATTGTTCTATTGTGTGAATGGGTGTGCTAACTTCTATGGAATTACAAGTAAATAAAGTTTGTCCTTTTAACCTGCTACTAATACTTCATAAATTCTATCTATAGATTTTATTTCATTCTTTTAATTGTTTAACATATCATATATATCAGTATATGGACAAGCAACACTAAGGAAATGATTTTTTCCTAAATTGTTTCCCGATCTTGCGGTTGTTTACTACATAAATGGACTAGTTCAATAATAAACTACGCTGTTCAACAATTTTAAGTCATGGTCTCCAGATGCATGAGCATTTGTATCCACGTTTCAGATGCACACAATAGATTAGAAACCAATGTAAAATCTTGTATTTTTGTTTCACAAGGGCCTAAATATTGAATTTCCTTATTTCATTCTCAATATATGGCACATACACCCTTTTTAAGAAAAAAATGAACACATTAATACTGTTTACTTCAGTGGAATAAGTAACTCCGACTAAATGTGTATTTCTTAATTTCCATTTTTTTAATTAAAATGTTTACAATGCTTGATTTCATTACAGATATAATTGAAATTTTATAATAATAGGTGTAATGTAACTTTCAATTTACATGCAAGGGCAGATCACTCCACTTGCAGACCCCCCCCCCCCCAACAGAATACCAACTCTGAAGTATGCAGTGTAAGAGATGATTCGATGATTCTTCTGTAATTAAATAAAATCAAGGATTTTATTTACACGGGGTTTTCAAAATATAAGGTAAAGACATATTTTAAATCCACAAAAGTATTGCTCAAAAGGTTTATCACTCCTCATGCAGATATTGATTGATTTAGTCAGGCAAGCTTCTTAAAAAGCTGTTACTTGTACATTGTTCATTTACATTCACACAAACTTTTATACAATTAATGCATTAGTATATACATGTACATGTAGTGTTGTATTATTTTCTCACAGTAATTGCTGTTAATGGTCCCATTTTACTGTACATAAAACAATGAAATATTAAATGCTAAATAACTCTTTAATGAAGCATTTATTTCAAGTTTATTGGGATTGGATTTACATCCAGCAGTTAAATTACTGCATATGTACATAAATGGGCGTATTCAAAATAAAGCGCAATCACTGGGTATTGTGTTTTTGGCGGATAAATCAATTTGTGCTACACACTACACACTACACACTTCCGCACTTTATATTGTATTTATATATCATTTCTTAGCGGTTTTCATTAATTCTTCATGAATTAGCGCATCAACGTCTGTGCCAAAGCCGCTAAAATATGAATCCTTTATTTTCATGCACAGTACATTTACCGTGTGGAAAACTGTTGTCAGTCTTACAATACATGTTAAAAGTTCTGGTGTCATTTTAGCCATCATGCAGAAATTTTGATGTAATTTGTTGTGACGTGAGAGAAAACTATTGATGGATACATTCACATACTCGGGAAATAATTTACTTGCTATCAAAGATTTTTGGATGGGGTTTTTGTATTTTTAAAGACACCTTTATAGTCGGTATAAAAAGTAAAATAGCATCCAATTTGCCCGATTTTCTTGATTTTGTTTCAAACATGAAACGTTTCCCATGTTTTTCGATCGTTCTAATAAGTTTCGTTTGGATCACATCAAAAGCTTTATCAGTTCTAACAGACGGCAATATAAAGAACTCAACAGACTGATGGAGGGAGGGGGGGTAACACTAATTAAAGACACCTTTATGGTCGGTATAAAAAGTTATCAGCATCCAGTTTGCCTCATTTTCTTAATTATTTTTCAAACATGAAGCGTTTGTCGTGTTTTTCGTTCGTTGTAATAAATTTGCTTGGGTCCCACGCTTTCTCAGTTCTAACAGACGACAATATAAGGAACTCAACAGACTTAGACTTCGGTTCACTTGATACTAAACACGTAGACGTATTTCGACAGCTACTAAATCAAGAGACCCTGATCCGAATGACATTGGTGAAAAATGTCCATGGACTGATGAAAGACATGGTGTCCCTTCAACAAAGTCTTGCGTCTTCAGAAAGTGAGATTTCTTCGCTTAAAGACACAACCACCAGAGAAATCGCCGAGTTGAAGAAAGAGGTGCGATCACTTAAGCTAGAAAACAATCGATTAAGCAACAAAGTGACCAGGTGTAATGAGAATATTGAGTCTTTAAAAGAAAATTTAACAGTGGTTGACGCCAGTCGCCGAGTGTTCGAAACACAGCTGCTGCAGGAAAAACAGATGTTTGAACAGAACACGTCCGGTATCTTAGCCGACATTAAAACTGAAGTTCGGTATTTATCCATTACGCTTCTGGACCTCCATAAACACAGTCTGGAAATCGACAAGAATATTCCGGAACTCATTGACAACAGATACGACTTGATATCAGGGAGACTTAATGATTCTCTGGAGGCTTATAACACAGAACTGAGATCAGCTAACGATAAACTGAGTTTGGCTCTAACTGACCTACAGAAAAGTCAACAGACCATAACAGATTCCTTATCTGGTGAGTACAAAATAAAGAAATGTTAGATATCTAGTAAATGGAAAAAAAATTAGATTTATAACTTTTTCTATACTGTAAAATCACATATTTTCGATGGGTCAAATTTTTGTGGTTTGAGGAAAATATTTTGTTTGTTGGGATTTGATTTCGTGGTTAAAGAATTGTGCAGTAGTACTATATCACAGGCACTTGTTTCTGTAATAAATTTTTGACCCATGGTATAATAATAACACAAGGTATCTAACTCCGATTTACACCGAGTACCCCCCTCCCTTAGAATCGCGCTCATTTACACTTTCAGAGGAAATACACGGGTAAACTGTTTGTACCTATGTCATCTACGATAATTTATCTACACAACCATATGTGGCTTGCTTTTCCTTGTTTTCTTTAATCTCCGTAAACAGCGTCAAAACTCTACTCGCAGAGTGGAAAAGTCGAACTATACCATAGAACGGTATATGCTAATCTCGGGCAAAGAGAAAAAATTAAGAATGCGTGGGTTTAAAAATTCAATTCTAGATTTTATATATTGCATCGAATAAATAAAATTTCATAGTGTCTTATTTTCCATAATAACACAACGACGTTTTTCCGATGTAATTTTAGAAAAAGATTTTTAGCAAATCAAATTCGAGGTCTAATTCTTTGCCCGAGACTATAATATACGATTCTATGGTATAGTTCGACTTTTCCACTCTGCGAGTAGAGTTCTGACGCTGTTTACGGAGATTAAAGAAAACAAGGAAAAGAAAGCCACATATGGTTTTGTAGATAAATTATCATAGATGACATAGGTATAAACAGTTTACCCGTGCATTTCCTCTGAAAGTGTAAATGAGCGCGATTCTAAGGGAGGGGGGTACTCGGTGTAAATATTAATCGGAGTTAGATACCTTGTGTTATTATTATACTATGGGTCAAACATTTATTACAGAAACAAGTGCCTGTGTACTATATATGTGAAAATATGCATTTCGAGGTGGACATAAATTCTTGGATCTCTTCATACCTTGAAAACCACGAACGAAAATAAAAATTCTACGAAAATTAGTGATTTCACAGTATTTTAAATTACTAAAAATTCCATTTATAGTACTTTATATCCTGGCTAGTTGAAACGTCTTCCCCTTATTTGTGGTTCGTAATCTAATTTCTTAACATCTTGGACAAATGCTTGATATTTTAGTGGAATTTGAAATGTTTGTTGAATGTTTATTTTGGAGATATTTTTTTTAAAAATCAGTTACATCGAACGTGAAAAACACTTTTGTTTTTTTTTTCCTGGGAATATAACATCAACATGTAGTTAGTTTCACTATCATGAACAAAAGCATTCTGGGAGTGTACATTGTCCACCGCTTGAAAAGTGGGGGGTTTGAATTTGGATCTCTCCGTCCGTCCGTCCGTCTGTCTGTAATGCTTTTGTTTCCACACGATATCTCAAGAACCCTTTGAGCTTTTGCAATGAAATTTTGCATAGCAACTCCCTATAGCCTAAAGAAAAACCCTATAGATTTTGAGGTCAAAAGGTCAAAAGTCAAGGTCACAAATTCGCAAATTCTGTCTGTTATAACACTTTCATTTCTGCGCGATATCTCGAGAACCCTTTGAGCTTTCGCAATGAAATTTTACATAATAACTCCCTGTGGCCTTAGAAAGACCACTATTGATTTTGAGGTCAAAAGGTCAAAGTTGAAGGTCGTACATTAATACATTCTGTTTGTATGTAACACTGTTGTTTTTGGGCGATATTTCAAGAAGATCTTGAGCTTTTGCAACGAATTTGTGTACCAAAACTCCCTAGGGCCTCTCTCATCCCTCTCAAAGTGTTCTGCCCCGTTTGTTTAATTAGTATCAAGTGTCACCTAGCACTATTTTAAGCACAGGGGCATGTGGAGAATTATTACATATCATACAAGTTGTCGGCGAACTTTTCATTCTTATTAATACATCTTTTAGTCTAGAACTGTTTAATAAAGGCTGATTTAGACACAATGCATTGTGTTAAATTTTGACAATATCGAATGTAAATACATACATGTATGTGACCTAATATTTGCATATAGTTTCCGACAGCATAAAGCGGCTCCGTGTTGTAGTGGTATGTCATTCGCTTGACATGCAAGAGGTCGAGGGTTCGAATCCCGGATGATCCATTTTCTTTCTTTTTAAAAAAAAAAAAACTTTTTTCACTAAATGATAGTATTCAGTATCATGTGATATGAAAAAGATATGACATCTGGCTTGTACAGACTCATTAAATCATCATTATTCTATATAAAAAAAACAATTTTTACACATAATAAAAGAATAAGCAAATCATTCTTAATCATACATAAATCAAATCTTTATATCCATATTGGCATTTTAATTTGCATCAATATACATGTAAACATTTAATAATTCTACAAATTCAGTCAGGGGGGATCCCCCCCCTCTCCGAACTCCACATGGTCTTCTTTTATTTCCTTTAGCGGGGGGCTCAAATTCTCCGAATTAGCTTGTTGCCTTAGCAATATTAGTACATGTACACTGGCGACAAGCGTAACCTGCTGGATCCCTTTAAAAATTGTGAATACCTTGGTTCCTTTATATATGTTGAAGCGGAACAATATGCAGACTTGATCTTAAACTCATGAAGGTAAAGTCAATTACCAAAAATCAGTTCAATATAGGAAACCTTTAGAAAAAAAATTGCGGATAACCACATCTTTGCTAGCCATTGAAGGTTTCTAATTCGCTACTTTACTCATCAACCCTTGACCCACGGTGTTAAATCAAAGTACTGAGACAGTACTGAAAGACGGGGTCAAATTAGTTTTCATGCTAGATTTTACAAATGTGATTTTTGTAACGAGTTTTGATAAAAATATTTTTATTAACAAGCTAAAAACAAAATTATGAATAATATAAAATCGCATTTTTCATTTAATTTGAAGTAGAAAATTCAATAATTGGTAAGTCTAGAAACTTTTTGAATTGTCCGAATTTCACCAGGTCCGAATTAATATAAGTAAACAATGGAGGATGCGTACGCAGTCGTAATACTACGCAGGAGAGTACTTTGTTTACTAGTGTGTTTTACAATCAATATTTTGAGTTTACATTTACAAAATGCTTCAATAATTTGATTTAGAAATAAGTTCATATCACTTTCTTCAGTTTGATACAAAATGTGTATATTTTGATAAAACAGTTTCTGCACTCTTTCATGTAGCGTAGATTTAATTCATGTGTTATCACCACGGCTTCCTTTTTTGAGGGTCTCTGACAGTAAACTAATAGACGGGGTCACGTGACCCCGTCTAAAAGGCTGTTTTTTCCCCTCAAATTGTGATTGAGGTGGATCACATCGTTCGTGTGACAGACAACCAACAGAGACAGACTGAAAGATAGACTGACTGACGGACGGACGGGCAGACTGACGGACGGACAGATGCATAAGAAATATATAGTCCCCTCTGTTTTCACCGGTATGTAGGGAACTATTTAACGACAACATTTTAATTAACTACATGACAGAAGATTTAAAATACGAAAACACTGGGAAATAATTTTACCTTACTCATCTTTCGTTATTCTGTCTTTACAGATCATATGAACAACACAATGGAAGACCTACAATCGGAACTCAAACAGACTCAGTTTGAACAATTAAAACTCTCGTCTTCTGTGTCATCTTTAGAGGTGTTCCGATTGAATTTTACCAACAGGCAGTGTGGTATGTATTTAAAAAAAGATAAAAATCATTTAAAAGTTAAGTAACTAAAAATCAAATTTTATCCCACCCTGGAGTTTACCATTTTTTTTATTGATACCCCTACACCTTTTTTCCGGTTCACTAAAAACTAGAATTCAAATACAATTGATGTTTTTGGAATTTCGATGTAACATTTGTTTGTTATCCCTTAACTTTGAATTCACTCTTGAATACCAAGTAGTTAATAAAATATACTAAGAAATACTCGAATGAATTGAAAGTAAAGTGAAACAAACATATATTGTCAATACTAATAGAGTGATTGTATTTTAGGTGCGTCTACAAAAGTAGCCTTCACCGCGGGAATAACGTCCTCCGACTCTTCATGGAGCGGGAGTACACTGGTTTTCCCCAAGATAATATTTAATACAGGCGGAGGTTACAACCCCACTACAGGGATGTTCACGGCCCCTGTGGAAGGGCACTACGTCTTCTTCGTCAGTGTACAGAGTCATGACACAAAGGAAATTCGGGTGGACATTGTATTGAATGGAGAATCTCAGGTCAGGACATTAGCATACGACTATGCTGATAAGGATTATTATGAGACAGGAGTTAACCTGGTTGTGTTAATGCTTAATCAAGGAGACAAAGTGTGGGTCAAACGTAGTCAAGGCACTGGATACTACTCCAGTTCTGTACCTGTTACAACCTTCTCTGGATTCCTTTTGTAAAAAAGTAATAATAATAGTAAGAAAAGGATGAGGAAAAATTACCTAATGGTATTTTGATATATTCCTTTTTAAAATAACTTTTTTCTACGTAATGGAATTCTACAAAAAATATTACGTTACATACGGTTGGTTTCAGACGAGTTTTATAATATGCATGTTTTTGATAGAAGTTCCAAAGAAATTAAACTGTTTAATACTGTTTCCTTAAATATTTGTTGTGTATTTTATTTCTATATTTGTAAAATACCTGTAATGGGTCTGTTTTTGAATGATCAGTTTTGAATGTGAGTTCATCTAAGTTCAATATGACGATTTCGAAAAAAGCTGCATGTTCTCTTAACTTTTTTATATATACATATAATCAACTTCAGATTTCAAGTTTGGCTCCTACATATCTAAAGGAGTGTTAGACAATGTCGAGTAGTTCTTTCCCGAGGTACCTGAACTCTATAACTTTTCCTAAAATGATTGTCTGATTTTCTTTGAATATGAATAGATCAGACAATTAAGCTAGACTTCATTTATTTTCTAAATCTTATAAACTTCTGTAGCCATTATTCTTATTCTTCGAATTCTGATTCTGTTTAAAACTTTATTCCGCATTTTTTATTTATAAATTGAGGTCTAGCTAACACCCATCTCCATCCAAACAGACCAAATTGCTTCGTAATGATTTCAAAAACGGTTAAATCACAAACACGGAGTGGAATTCAACAGTGTTCCTAATGTTCACTGGATTCCATTTCTTTTTAGATAACTATATGAATAATATTTCTACTACTAGTATAACCAATCTCCACATGTACATCTGCTTCCTCATCTAGAGATAAGCAACACAAGTTCATGTCTGTCTATTGTCTTCAATCATTTTCGGGAGGGGCTGGCAGGTATTATATCCTTTGTTGAAAGATGAATTTATTAGGTTAGATACCACCTCTGGAGTTTCTAGGAGTAAATTGTTAATATATTTTTTGTTGTCTAATTTTTTGGGTTATCTTTGCCCCCTACACGTTTTAACCAATTTTGATTGACAAAGTTAAAAACTTAATATCAATAATGATAAATTTTGACATAAGATTTATTTATTCTTGGCATACGTCTCAAAAAAAAACCAAAACAAACTTCTTGATTCATATGATAATATATCCCCCAGAAAACTAGCCATAAAAAAGTCAGAAATATCTTTATCTTGTGATTGGTCATCTACAAAATTACTAGTAGGCCTACTTGGTTAAAGGATTACTCGAATTCTACACACAAGTCCTATGAAGTTGATATATATTAAAAGGATGTTGGAGTTCTTTATTGACATTTTTGTAGTCTGTCGTTTATTCAATGTGGATAAAGTATGGGTGTCTTCTTTATATCATATCTGATATGTTTAAAATCTAAATTTAACGATATTTTAAGGATTTAATTATTATATTATTGTACAGATATTCAGCAATTTTTCTTACTGTAAGTTGGCGATCTTTCATATCAAATTGCTCAACAAAGGACACATCTCTTCTCCAGCTCGTCAAATTATTGACTAGCTGCAGAACTGTAGCTCTTCGAAAAAAATATAATGACAGACCGGAGAGCTACAGTGCCACCCATTGAAAAAAACTATATATTTATTATAGCTATTGACAAAACTTCTGGCAAGTCTTTTGTCTTCATAAACCGTGTACAAAATATTTTATACTTCTGCAAAAGATGTAAGTTTAACTTTACAGCCGTTCGTTGCTCGCATACAACCAAGTCAATAATTTTTTTGTCACACTTGATCTACATATTGACGTTATTTTCACATTGTGACGTCACAAACGTGGGGCAAAACATCATATTACATATGCTATTTATAGAAAATGTGTAAGACTCTAAGTATGCCAAATTTCATTCTGATCTAAACTTTCCTTCGTACTTGCCGTATACACTTCATTATTCTAGAAAACCAGTATCTTTTTCTTTCTTTAAATTCGTCACGTGTTCTCTCTAAGGATAAAGATGAAAGCACCACATCTAAGAATATAAGATAATTAGATCATACAATATGTCTTCCAAATATTTTGCTTCAATACCATGATTTAAGTCTTCTAGTTCTAAAAATGCTCTCTGGAGCAAGATCCTGACTGCTGAATTGTAAGTAGTAAAGATACAGGTATATAGTGTTTAAAACATGCATCAACGTGTCATATTTCTCAGTGTTTCAGCATTTCTACATTTCAACTTATCTATCTCTTCACCATCGGCTGTTTTCCATCCGCATGGTTGTTTGGTGAAATAGTTCCTACCTATGAGGATAGAGGTTATGATGATGAATAAAAGAATAATTATCGCCCACTGACTTTTGTCAGACAATTAAAACAATATTCAATAAGAAAAATGTTTACATATCAGAATTTCAAAAGTAAACTAATAATAAAACAAAGTATATCTTTCTTGAATGACTTATTACAAGAATAGACCAAGGAAAGTTAATTGGGCGGGACTTCGTGTAATCATGGAAACACCCAACATGCTAAATATACAAAAGTGAAAACACCTAGACGCTGAGAACAAACGTCTTTACTATACCATGCTTTTATCTTTCAATACACGAACTTTTTTTTATTGAAAAAACCCACTTAATTATATTTTTAATACAGCTTATTTATTTTCAACGCAAATGATTCTGAATATTAACCTCACTCTGTTTTAGTTGAAGATATAAAAAATCTAAAGAAAATAATTCTGTTCAAAGATAGGGAGTTTTCTTTTACAGTTACTTAAAAATTCTTATCATATCGAATGTTAATCTAAACATGTTATGGAATTCTCATGAATTGCTTTGGTCATAAATGTTGTAATAAAAAAACTTTTGCCTGCATAGATATTTAAAATTTATGATAGCCATTAATTTTCGAAGAATTTTTAGAATATTTTCTAATATTTTTTAATCTTTCCAATCATCCTTCTCACAAAGACTGGAATACTCAATGTTGAGGTTTATGGGCTGTAACTTCCCATATTTTATAATAACTAAATGTGTTTGTGAAACACTGAATGCAAGTCAGAATCCAAGGTCAAAATTAAGGACCAAGTTGTTGGTATCTTGGTATCCATGGAAGGTCTGGCCACAAGGGATACACCTGTGAAATATCAAGGTCATAATACTAAATGTCTAAGAGATATGGCCAAGTATATAAGATTTTTAATCGCGAGTTAACTCCTCAGGTCAAGATCAAAAGGTAAAAAATATTTTTATTAATTGAAAAGTCGTGTCATAATTTTAAAAGTACGGAAGCCCTGGCATAAACTGTTGAAAAGGTATAGCCATGAAAAAGTTTTGAAATTCTTTTAAAAGTGGGTCAAATTCCAAGGTCAAGAGGTCACATTTGGTGATAGCTTAAGAAAGGTAAGGAATACGCCCGTGAAATAATAGCTCCACCGATTCAAAAATTTTGGGCAAGGTTAAAGTTTTTCGATTTATACATTACGGACTTGGAAAATCCGTCATGCAAACTCGTATATCACGTTTCTAACTATCGATGATACCTTTGCATTCCAAACAAACTAGACAGTAATTCCCTTAAAATATTAATCTAATACTGTTTTTACACACTGAAGTGAAGGTTTTATTCCTGATATTCAAGGTTTTACCCGATTACTACATCATCTTTCGTCTTTTCATAAATAAAGTATCAACAACTAGAGAAAAGCTCTTCCGTCCTGTTTGACCGGAAGTAGCTTTCATTTTTAACAAAAATGAGAAATAACGCCTAAAAATGCTTTGAATCCTCTAAAGCTATGTTAATTAATGCAAAAATAAGCCATTTTTTGCTACTTCCGGTTTGACCGGAAGTGACGACGACGGACGAAAAATTAATTTTTAAGCTCCCAGAGACATATGTTGCCCAAAAACTTGTCAAAACGGCAAAAATACGCGTTTTCCGACTATTTCCGGTTTGGCAGGAAGTGACGACGCTGGACGTATTTTGACGACTCCATTAGATTAAGCTTGACATTTTGAACAACTTTGCTTTTTACATGTGTAACAAATTCTCAATACTTTTTAAGATATCTGGAAAAAACTTTTGGCCCCTCTTAATTTAGGGGTCAGCCCTTTTTCCGACAAATCGTTTGAAAGATCCTCTAGTTCTGCACAAAGTATATTCTATATATTTTAACAAAATATTTTCAGTTTAGAAGATAAGAAGCAAAATATGAGTAATTTTTGGTTCTTTTAAGCGTTTTAATTTTTGACCCCTATATAGCGCCGTTTCGAATAGAGAAATCAAAAACAAAAACCGATGTGCACAACTTCAATCCGTCTATTATCTAAAATCAGTAGAATTTCTGCTCCAGCTTTAGCCGTCTCTGAGCCTTTGTCTGGAAACGAAAGCCTATAAATTTTCGTTGAAAGGGAAATAACTCAAAACCGGAAGTAACTTTTTGAAATTTTAGCCAGCATTCTGATAGAGTTTATAAACGTCTATAACCTCTGAAAGTTTGAGCGAAATCCGTTGAGAAATGAGCGACTTACGAGGTCTCAAAGTTGGCGTCTAGGAAAAAAAAAAGAATGATAGGGAATAATCTTAACCATCAGAATCAGTAGAAGGTCTTCCGTTGGAAACGGAAGACCTTAATTACGCCTAGCTAAATTTAAACAAACAGTTGATGTCCCTGGTTAGCTAAAATATATTGATGGGTGTATTCACATACTCGGGAAATGATTTACTGTAACTGTTATCTCGAGATTTTTTGGGGGATATTAGATTAGTTATAGACTCCTTTACTCTGTATATAAAGTGAATAGAATTCGGTTTGCATGATTTTCTTTATTATTTTTCAAACATGAAGCGTTTATCGTGTTTCTCGTTTGTTGTAATAAGTTTGTTTGGGTCCCACGCTTTCTCAGTTCTAACAGACGGCAATATAAAGAACTCAACAGACTTAGACTTCGGTTCACTTGATACTAAACACGTTGACGTACTTCGACAGCTTCTAAATCAAGAGACACTGATCCGAATGACATTAGTGAAAAATGTCCACGCACTGATGAAAGACATGGTCTCCCTTCAACAAAGTCTTGTCTCTTCAGAAAGCGAGATGTCTTCACTTAAAGACACAACCACCAGAGAAATAACCGAGTTGAAGAAAGAGGTGCGATCGCTTAAGCTGGAAAAAAATCGATTAAGCAGCAAAGTAACCAGATATAATGAGAATATTGAGTCTTTAAAAGAAA